CTAATACAAATGAAAATGACTTGCCATAGACTGTTGTAACCAACATGGGGGACCCTAGATAACTGTTAGAATAGTAGTGGATAAATGCATTCTACATAGGTGAAATCCTCTGGCGGCATGTTATCATGAAATCCACTTTGGATGTTATCACCCCAATAAAAGGCTGTTACTGGCATTTATCAGTACCATAGAATGGATTCAGATTGTGCCTCCAGTAGGCTCAGCTGGTTGTTATCACTGAATGAATCCTAATCCTAACCCTGAGCTAACTTTTTTCCCCCCATGGACTTGATTAATTTATTTATGTGTAATCTAAAAATAATTTCAGTATTTCTTTATGTACCATAAAAAAAGAAATAAATAAAAGGATCCACATGTCACTCATATTACACAAGCCAAAAATAAATAAATCTCATATTCTGTAAACTGAGCAGTAGAATCATCTCCTTATAAATATTTAATTCTCTGTGAATTAATGTGGATCATTCTTTAATACGATCCTCATCAAAAGGACTTGAAATATATTTCTTTTAAAAACCTAACGTGTTTAACGGATCTAGTGAATAATTTATTTTTATTATTGTATGCACAAAACAATGCCAAAAACCTCCTGAATAAATCAGGAAATAAAACAACTGGATTTGAGACAGAACAGTCTGAGTTTGCTGAAGAAAACCAGCTCCCAACCAGGTTATCTCTAGTGAGAATATTACTATGGTAACAGAAACAAAGGTTGAATAAACTCTCTTTGTGAAATAGAAAACTCAGGGTATCCCTGATTTCAGGTTCATAAAACTTAATTGCTTAACTGCTCATTTTAAACCATTGCCATTTGTTATTTTTCATCCTTTTTTACACTCAAAATGGTGATGTATACTGCAAGATTTTGCAGCGACGAAGCATGAAGTCATTCAACACCAGGGAGGTGTTTTTAGTGCATGGTATGAAAAAATGTCCTAATATGTTCTTATAGTCTATTTTAAGGAAATGTAATTATCTGTCTGCTAAGTGAAATCATAACCAATGATATTTTAAAAGTACCGTAAAACTGGTAAGAAAGTAAACAATTAGCGGAGGTGGAATAAACTGAAATTGGGTTAGAGTAATAAGCTTTAAAGAAAAAGAATACAATTGAAAAAAAAAAAAAACACTTGTATTCTGGAGTATTTGGCCATTTTGTTGTCATTGTTCCCCACCTTGGAAAAGTGGTAAGTCCATCTCAGGGAAACAGAAAGAAGTAACACACAAACAAACTCACTCAATTTTAGAAACACCAATTAACCTAATAGTTATGTTTTTTGACTTTGGGAAGAAGCCAGAGTACCTGAAGAGAACCAACACATGCACAGGGAGAATCGAACCCAGGACCTTCTAGCTGCAATGGCTGCAAACCGCGCCACCATGCAGCCTACATGTAATTCAAAATAATTAAAAATGATCAACAGTTCAATTAGCTACTATCTAGGGCTGCAACGACGAATCGATAAAATCGATAAAAATCGACTTTTAAAAGCGTTGGCAACGAATTTAATCATCGATTAGTTGTGTCGCGCGATTAATGCGTCATCCGCCGCCGCCGTCATCCCGGGGAAGAAAAAAAAAGTATGGCGGAGCGAGTCAGCGCCGCAGTTGCAGTGTTGCCAACTCAGCGACTTTTCAGACCCCTCCAGCGACTATTTTTTTAAAAAGCGACTAGCGACAAATCTGGCGACTTTTTACGGTGTCACTGGCGGCTTTTGGAGACTCTTATGTGAAAGCATGTATCGTTCCTACTCTTGTCCTCCAGCGGCAGCTGCTGCCGTGGGGCGCCTCCCCCATCCCAACGCCTTTCTCCCTCTCCCACAGGAATCCCTCTCAGCGCTGCAGTCAGAGCCGCAGGATTTTAGTGAGGAGTTCACCCTCAGCGTCCAGACTGCAAATGAAGCGCGCATGCCCCGGGATTGACGGCGCAAATTGATTACAATAATTAAAATAGCCTGCGCTTTGTAAAGTGAAAAAAAGTCGTAACATGCAACTTTTGTAAAAACAAATTAACATGGCGCGGAAGCACCACTGTTATGACGCAGCACCTGAAAAGAAAACACGTTGGAGCCTTCAATGGCAGTGAAGAGAGCTGATCAGCAGGATGAGTAACCATGTTTGTTTCATTTTAAAGAGGGGAAACGTAACGTTAGTTTCTCAGGTAGCTCATCTGATGCTTTCCTTAGCTTGTTAGTAGGTTACAGACAGTGATAAGGTTGGCTTCTTATTTTACTTTTAATTTCATTTGAATTAGCTTAAGTAGGGTGACCATATTTTCATTTTGAAAAACCAGGACACCTTGGAGCGGGGGGGCGGCGGCGGGGGATCTCTGTTCCCATGCATAGGCCTAGGTAATCCTACAATAACATGATATTAACAGTTGATTTATTAAAAATGCTTTTCAATAAAAATCAACAGCAATAACTCCAATAACAAATGATAATTTTATTCAAAATGTATTTATTAAAAATGTTTAACAATTCCTGTAATGAATGAATAGCACAATGAAAGAAATAATGTCTCATCTAAACATCCCTCACTTAACAATAAAAGTTAACAATAACTCTCAACTCCCAATAACAGATGATACTCAGCCTCAGCAATGAACGAAATAATGTCTGTTCTGTAGGTTATTGGAAAAAATAAACAAATGAGCTAATTAACAAAAAAACTCTTTTGTAGCAAAAATAACTCAAAATGTACCAAAAACGAACAAACATATCAATAGAATATCTTGACTTTCGGAGTCCAGGTGGCTTTTCAGATCCCTTGCACCTCCATTGGACACCGAGACATATGTGCCTGCTTTGCACACTGTGCATAAGGCCTCCCGTTTGTCTCGACCCGGTCTGAAAGCGGGGAAACTCTTTTGTAAATTGTTGGTAAACATACATTTGTGCCTTTGCATGTTGTTGGCGTACTGACAACCACGCTATCTATATTCTGATTAAGAACGGGGCTGCCCGCACTGGCGCGGCTCAGGGGTGACGTCACACGCAGTGTCGTGCGCAGTGCCCTAGCGTCTGTAAATTTAATGGTCCAATGAAGGTAATTTAAAAAAACAGGACATTTCCTCACTTTCTAAAAAAAACCCGGGACGCCCAGGACCGGACGTGAAATACGAACATGTCCTGGGAAATACGGACGTTTGGTCACCCTAGCTTAAGCAGCGTTTATATTTTCTTTATAAATAAATAAATTGGCAAATTATGAGGGCAAGGCTTTTAAAGTTTAAATCTTCTGGCAAAGATAAAGTAAAGAAGATCCTGCAATTTATGGAAGTAAAGCAGAATAAAATCCAGCAAGATCAGTAATATGTCAATTAATTATCTGCCACATTTCCATGTAAATATCTGCCTTTGGAGGATGTGTTTTTTAGCACCCCTAGTTCTCTCATTTTTATTCCAAATACAATTTATAATTTGAATCACAGGGCTATTTTTATCTCTATGGTTAAGTATTTTCTCAAGTAGCAACTTTAACTGCTATACTTTCCTGTCTTAAAAGGCAGAACTCTTCTAGTCTAAAAAAAAACCTCATTTGTTCAAATGGGGGGGCCTATTGTTTGAACCCCTTAGGGGCTTTAAAAAACAAAAATGTATTTTTTTGCGCTTTATGAAACAAAGTACCCTATATTTTGTGGATGTACAGCTACATTTCTCATGTAAGTTTGCGTAGTTTTAACACAAACATTTATTTTTCATATTGCACCAGTACAGTTAATGAGAAACCTGTACTTGTGTGCTTGTTTGTTCTGTCTAAAATGTTTATTTTGGAATAAAGAGGTTAATATAAAAAAATATTTTGTGTCCGATTCATCGATTAATCGAAAAAATAATCGGCCGATTCATCGATTTTCAAAATAATCGTTAGTTGCAGCCCTACTACTATCTAATATTTAAAACAGTGTCCCCTTCTGGGAACATTTCTAATTAATTAATGACTCCAAAACAAAATAAATCAGCACACGTTATGCTTTGAGTTCATGAAGGAATAGATGCTGAACAAGTGAACAGTGTTGAACAAATAATCCAAGTGGGAAAAGTATATGAAAACCAACCCCAGGCTACAGAACACAAGGTGGTCCACAGTTTGACAGCCGTTGTCATGTCCTTGTTTTCCCTTGACTCCTTGTAGTTTCTTTTTTAAGTCTTAGATTGTTCAGCAAAGTGTGTCTGGCTGCATTGGGTTCTTTTTTTTTCTTAAATAAAAAGAAAGTACTACTGGGTTTATTCTAAGATGCTAGATTTGCTTTCCTTCAAAGGGTAGATGTTTCTCTCTACGGTCATCACATACTTAATCAGTCAGCAGTCAATCTGTTAGAATGGACTTTACATAAATGTATGCATACATTTAAATCTATATATATATAATTCATCTGTCTTGTCATATTGACTCTAAAACATAAAGTGAGTGGGTCTCATAAACAAGAACTCTATGAGACTGAAGTATAACTTGTGTTTGAGGAATTTTGGAATTTGACACAAACATCAATCTGCCTAAAGTTGTAACACTTACTCTCCACACACTAAAGCGACACAAAAACATACCCAGTTAATTTAAAAGGCAGGGAATGTGAGTTGGTAGGTGCTCAAAGTCAACACCTCCAGCCCCCCCCACCCCACCCCCCCCCCCCCCCCCCACCCCCCTTCAACAGGGTAGTCAGAAAAAAAAAAAAAAACACCAGAGCAATTAGATCAGTACTTAAACGCACCACATAGACTGGGAGCCAACATGATTTGCTCCACGAGCGCTCAGATGTAGGCTAACTCTTTATGGTTGTGTCACGCGCTGTGGATCTCTGTTGTGCCAACCTTTTACCTGGAGAAGCGCGCAACGTAAACAAAGTGACAGGAATAAACGGACGCAGGGGCGCGTGCCTCATGCCGCGCGCCGCAGTGGTCCGGGACACACAGACTGTATGAGAGCAAGAAATCAAATAGCTTTGTTGCAGGGGGCTGCGCACAATCCGCCCTTACCGGTGCTGATAGTATCTAAGCTCCGTGCAGGGGACACAATCCCGGGAAGTTGCAGCTCGTTTCTCGCTGCTGCTGTGCACTCTGCTACAGATCTGACAGCTCTTTCGATCAGGATTTGTCTTCTTTTAACAAAATGATCACCCGCGCCGTCCTCAGAGGTGGCAAGTTAAAGACCGTCTTGGAAAAAAAAAAATAAGATAAATGACAAAAAACAAACAAAAACAAAAATCAGTGGTCGATCCGAGCAAAATATACCGGGATGAAAGCAGGAGAAACACAGCTTCACCTCCAGTGAGCATCAGCTGGCAGAAAGACGCAGGAGGAGGAGAGGAGAGTCCGGAGGGCTGAGCACGCAGAGAGGAGCTGCATGTTCTCCCTCTCTCTCTCACATTCTCTGATCGATGGAGGTTCGCTCCACCACTCCCTCCTCTCCATCTCCCTAAATCCTGTAGCATAACCAATGTTAGATGCACATTTAAGCCCTTTAAGCTTTATTTTGTGTTTATCAGCTGTGGTCTCTATTTTGTGGCAAACGATTAATTGGATTTTTTTTTAAGCTGCCTTGCACTTGTGAGACAGGGAACATAAGTATCAGAACAGGGGGGGGAGACAACCTGTGGCAGTGGGTAAACCTGTTGGATTATGGATTTGACCTAACAACAGAGTATGCATTGACTGCATCACACCATTCCAAACAAAAAGCAGAATCTATAGCAAAGTTTGATTTTAAAACTGCTTTCAGAATAGTAATGCACATCAGAGGCTAAATGATTAGAAAAAAATATACTGTTAATGTATGCATAAAAAAGAAGAACATATAAATCAACCAGAAAGTTGCTTAAGACTCCAAAACCAATATAGGATCCCAATGAAATTTTAAAATGTAACATATGTTGGCCATACTAATGTTTTAAATGCCAGTCTTAGTACAAGAGACCCATTGAGGACTTTGTCATCTCTTCATACTTTTTTTTTTTGGCAAGAAAACCATACAAGCAACTGGGGATGTCCCAATCCAATATTAGTATCAGTCTGCTAAATTAGTTTTTTACTCGTAATGGGTCTTACAAAAGGATAATGGCCCCAAACCCACACCTAAAAATATTCAAGAATGGCTAAGAGGAAAACAGACTAGTCTGAAGTGGCCTTCTTTAAGCTCTTATCTAAATTGTATTCAGCATCTTTGGAAGGTGCGGAAACATGCAGTCTGGAAAAGGTTCCCCATCAAACCTGAGCAAACTGGAGTTTGCTAAAACAGCTGCTGAGAAGTGCAGAAGTCTCACTGACAGTTACAGAATTTGTTTGAATGCAGTGATTACCCCTAGAGGTTTTACAGCAATATGTTTAGTTAAGGGCACTATCAGTTTTGCCCTGGCCTGATCCCTAAGTTATTTTTTTTTAATCATCCTGCTGAAGCATGGTTGAAAACAAATGTATGGCTTTTATATTTTAATTCTTTATGTCAGGAGTTCCTCAGGGTCTTCTGTTTAGACTAAGGATTGTGGCATGTTCATTTTAACATCCATGCATCCATCCATCCATCCATCCATCCATCCATCCATCCATCCATCCATCCATCCATCCATCCATCCATCCATCCATCCATTTTCTGACATGCTTATCCTAAATGGGGTCGCAAGGGTGGCTGGTGCCTATCTCCAGCTGTCCACAGGAATGAAGCCAGATACACCCTGGACAGATCGACAGTCCATCGCAGCATTTTAACCTCCTTAATAAAGAAAATAAAACATAAGCACCTTTCTTCACATTGTTTTTAATACTTATTTTTTAACACTTATTACTTTAACACTCTTAATTAGAGATAAGAGGAAGGCATAATCTCACCTTATCTTATATCAATAAAAAAAATGTAAATGTAGGGTTTAAATGTTGTAATGATATAGTAATAGTTACCTATTAACCTACTCCTCAGGGGAGGGACGATTGGGGTGCTGTTGCTCAGACATTTTCACCTCTTCTAGGAATTCTTTTATTAATATTGTTTAGAATCAGATTAAAGTATGGTAACATAGAGGAGGACAGAGCAGCATAGTCACTATCTAAAGAGAGTTCTGTTTTACCTGATATATTTAGGAATATACGTGCTGACCACATTTAAATGCAGAAATAAAACACAAATACTTTGTTCTGAAAATGCTGGACTTTTTTTTCTGCAAAGATGAAAATTACAAAGTAATGGTTTTAGTTGTGGTATTTTTATATGATCTCTGCATTGGGAACTCTATGGTGGGTTGAACCACTGCATAAAACATTGCCGCACATAAGCACAGATGGTGCTTGGGACGGGGAACATCGAAATTTATTGTGACCCTGATTGGTAGGGGTGTACATTGGCACTGCCCTCACGATTCGATTCAATTACGATTCACCAGGTAACGATTCAGTTCGATTCTACGATGCATTGCGATGCATCAAAATCCCATTGACTTTGTAAAATCCGAAATGTGCCCAGATATCCGCTTTCCAAGCTTTTGGTGCGTTTTTAATTAGGCCTACCCGTCTATCGCGGTCATCTCCCTCCGCCTCAGCCATCTTGATTGTTGTTGGTATGCCCCCGGAAGTAATTGAAACTTGTCCATTTGAGGCCAGAAAATAAACAGTGACATAATCGATTATGGCACGTTGCCGCATCGATGCTGATTCGTGCATGCCCCGCATTGAAATGCATCGCTGAATCGATCATTGTTGACACCCCTACTGATCGGTCCCCCATTGGCCATACAAGGCAAGAACTTGAAAAAATATTCTTTAGGAGTTGGCTTCATCAGTTCATGCTATAGATCTGGCAGTAATGTGACCTACATGTGACATAAAGAGTGACTATTCTATTGTTGCAGGATTAAGTATCAAAAGAGCCGACCCATTAATTTACTGCGACCGATTTGCATGTGGGAAAGGTGCTAATTCTTGTTCAACCAATTTATGCCTGGCTTAGAGAAGCAGGAGGCAAAATCCGGTCAGAATTAGGCAGACAAATATACAGGAATGCTGGATAAAACTCATGGATCGTAATAATCTGGCACTAGTGACTGGCCTGATAGCTGGTTATATAGTCAGGTGAGCAGGTGAATAAGATGGAGGCTGATTGGAAACGGGGCAGAGCTGACAGATGTGTTGAATCCTGAATCAAACCAGAACAATTGCCAGGAATCAGGACATACAGTATCCGCTTTTGACCAAGCCTAGTTTGCTGTACTTTTGATATAGTCATGGGTTGGAGTGGTTGTACTGCAAAACATGAAAAGAGCACCAAAAAGAAGACAACCTACTATTATTGTTGGTGTACAACGAACCCTTAAAAAAAGAAGAAACATCATAAATAGGTAAACTTGACTGAATATGTTTCTAATGTACATCTTTAGCTACATGCAAGCATTCTGAATGTTGGTGAATGCAGCTAGCTAATGGGTGCAGTGGTATCTCTACTTTTTAATTAATAGAATGTAAAACTCATTTAATATGATGCTGCTGTTAACTGAAATTAATAATTTGCTAAATCTATTTTCTTCTTTAAAATTGAATAAATTCCCACCATCCCAAACGCTATGATGCCATTCATGAACATGATGGTGTTTTTTTTTCCACAAAGACTAATAAATGGGTATTTGTCTGTCTTTATCAGTGGTTAAGTTGGGTTTTTGTATTTGTTTTATATAGGTTCTCTGTGTATAAGACACCAAAAGGAGTAGGCGCTGCACAGTGTACAGTGGGCTACAATTTTTAACTGCTCAGTGAGAATATTCTACACTCTACACATTGTTTACATTGATCTTTATTTATAATAAACACAGAGCTGATACGGACAGCTGACAGCGCTCAAAGCAATGAGTTGCGAGGACATGCAGCGTGATTGCCCCTTACAGATTGCAGATATGACTTCTCATCTTTTGTTGAAGTCATTGATTAGGAATGATGATCATTGATGACATTAAATGCTTTTGATTAGGTTTATTTTCAATATAGCATGATGTTCTTTTGGGTGATTATGTCAGAGTTCTGGTTCTGTTATGTTTTTCTTTTGAGTATTCAGTTTTGCTTTTCTCCTTGTTTTCTAGTTTAAGTGGTTTAATTCTAATTTTGTTGTGTTCTCTGGTTATTTCTCAGTTAAGGTCATAGTTCTGGTTCTGTTATGTTTTCTTTTGAGTATTCAGTTTTGCTTTGCTCCATGTTTTCTAGTCTTAGTGGTTTGGTTCTTATTTTGTTGTGTTTTCTGGTTATTTTCAGTCTTCAGGTTTTTGTTTGTTGCCCTCTGCTACCCTCTTGTGTTCTCCTTTTTCCCTAGCTCGTTTCCTGATTCTGCCCTGTTCACACCTGCTCCCAATCTGCTCATTAGTCGTCTCCTTGTTTCAGTCTTCCTTGAATACTTTCTCTGTCAGTTCTTCAGTGCTGGATTCTCGTCTAACTTCCTCCAACTCCGTCTCTCTGAGCCTTCCTCCTCGTCCCCCCTGATGTCTCCATGGTTTCTGGTTTGTTTTGACTTTGTTTTCTTGTTTGGATTTTTGGATTTCCTGGCTCTCTGTTCAGTTAACCTTTCATTAAACCCACAAGAAAATTACCTCTGCCTGGTCAGTTCAATTGTTTTTTTTAGTTAGCCCTTCATACTACTATTAAAAAGACCACCATCAGACTAACTGAATAGTTTAAGACCTGAAGCACAGATAGCAGGAGGCGTCAGAGAGTAGCGCACTTTTTATGGAATTATTGGTGACTGTTTGCAGAAGTGTTCAGTAGTCTTATTCAAAATAAAACCATTGAAAAATGAACAAAAAGAAAAACACAGAAACTAGCGGGCATCTTTCCTTGTTTTTATTAGAAAGCTGTTAAAAAATAGGAGCCTATAATAGAACCATATCATAGCGAGATGAAAAAAAGGTAAGAAGAAAGCACTGCAGCTGTTAACAACAGTATTTTATGGAGAGCTAACTGCTATTGCTGTGTGTTGGTGTCTAGTTAGAGCCTGGAAAGTAACACGAAAGATTAATAAAATGCAACATGACTGTTCAGACAGTGGAGGCTTTGAAAATATCCAAAATGTATCTGAATCGGTAACACTCAATTTTTGGGGGATCAAAAGATCAAAATCAGACCATTTACAGTGCAATGAAAACATGTGATGTAGGCTGCATTTTCCTGCAGTAGCCAAACTTGTGTAGGAATTATTGATTGGCATATCTGTCCCACCCAGTTAAAAGTTGCTATCTGCACCCCTGTAGCCACAACATTCCAGTCTCCATAAAGTCAAAACAGATTTTGATTATTTCACTAAACATGCTTTTCAGTCTACACTAGGCATGAAGATAAGCTTGGTAGGCGGGAGCGCTCATTCAGACACAAGACTGTTGCATCCTGGATGCACAAAGGAGAGCCTC